AGGGAGCAAATTGTTGTACATGCTCCAGCACGGTACGCTTCCTTTCATATGGGTGTTCAGACAGCGAATCCCTTTGGGAAGTTTTGTTTTCATGTCCTCTCCATTGTTCCCTGTGGGTGACATAACCTCCTCCCCCACCCCCACTGCACCCCCTGCCAAGGCCAGATTATTGCTTAAGAAAGTGGTCCATCTTGACCAATAATTTTCTCATAGAAACACAAGCACACTCAGACCAGTTCCAAATGCTCGTTAGAGATGAGACAATTATTGATGATTCGGTGTTCTGGAAAGAACCATCATTCAGACACCATGAGCTACCCTTTTCTGAGTTGTCTGATAGGAGTTAATCCAAATATGTGGTTCTGGGAACCTGATCTTAAGCTTTAGGCGAGTTAGGTTTTTTGAAACACATCATTTTGCAAAGGATTTTGGGGAAGGAAGAAAATCCTTGGTGAGACTTTGCTTCTATTTGTTACTGAGTCTTTTTTGGACTGTTGTGCATAATCTGAGTTGGCACATTATTAACCTTTTCAAATTAGGCATTTAGTAGGCTCAGCTGAATATTTTCTTAATTTGCATATTTGGGTTTGCCAGAACAGCTGGCACAGTGCTAGAATATTAGTTGAGATCTTTGATTCACATAGTCCAATTCCAAACACATAAAATGCTTTGGAGAGAACATCCTTACCCCACTACAGTAAACTTTATTGATAAGAATAATAGCAACAACAACAGCCATTGCTGACTGAATCCTTACTATGTCCCAGACATTGTAGGTATCTGAACACTTTTTAGGTATCACATTGTAGGTATCGTTTAACACTTTTAACAACTTAATGAGGTTTTATAAACCCAATTTTGTAGCTAAAATTCAAAATGCTCGTTACTTGCTTTAAATGGCCCAATCAGTAACTGGTCTCGCTCAGCGTGGTCCCTAGGTGATCTAGCAAGACAACCTCTGTGCTTTCCACCTGGCTCACTGTCTCCGTGTCTCAGGTAACACAGAAGAGCTTCCTCCTCAGGTCAGCATTCCTGTGAAGGAGGCGTCACTTCTTTGACTGTGACACAAACTTCAGGTGAGCAGGAGGTACCCAGGCTAAAGGAATGCAAGAAACTCTACACCCCATCCACCTCCAAAAAGCACAGACCAGCTGACTGCTCCTGTCAGTCTGTGCACAGTTTCTGGTATATTTTTAATATGTTTATGATACAGTTTATGATAACACTTTAATAAGCTTAAGATAAAGACCTGACACGTATCAGGAACTGGACTAAGGGTGAGGTATAAAAGTGTAGGGTGGTGTCTTTCTTAAGAATAAAGACATTCTGGATGTCAGTCACTTGAGATGAGTTATGTGACAGGAATGCCACCAGGCCCTGGGGCAGGCAGCAGGAGGAGGAGGAGAGGGGCAGATTGGCCACGTCTAATGTAGCATCGTAGGCTTCGTGCTTCTCTTATCTAAGCTTATTTCTCTTTTTCCTTCTTGAGCATTATGAAAAGGCCTTTTGTGAAAGTTCTGTTATAGCTTAGATAATCTCAGTGAGGCAGGTGTTGTGTGTGTTTAACAAATTGGGCCATAGTACCCTGAAGGGGTTTTTATTAAAACAACAGCTTTGAGGTGATAGGAATGAAGGACCAGAAGCCAGAGGGAGGGGGGGGGGATAAACCTGGAAGCCCCCTGCAGCCTGCCATCTTCCCTCCCTGCTCAGATCTGCTAGCAGAGCTTGTTGATTCTGCCTTGCATTTAATTTGGAGGCAGTAGTCTTGTGTGTGTTATATGTACAAATGTAAGAGGTGTTTGGGAATAGTATGCAAGATATCCATGCTAGCTTTTTACCACAATTAACTTTGTGAAAACTGAAGACAGGCTGATGTCTCTCTTTCTAAAATGCAGGTGAATAAATATAGAGACCTACTTTTGCTGGTTTATTGACAACACATGTATATGTGTAAGTGTCCATTATACTAGCTGGAGGAAATGCGATATATTTATTGAATGGATTTATTAAGCTAAAAATAAGCCCCCTGCCAAGTCCCATTCCGGCCTGAAGAAAATACCATCCAAGGAATTTTATAGAAATTTCCTCTAAAGCTGGAGGCCTTAAAAAAAGAAGGAAACAGATTCGAAGCAACATCCTGGTGAAGCTAACTACAGCTTTGCCAAGGGTACCTCCTGATGAAGCACTGAAACATGTATGAACATGTATGACACTGTTATTTCAGGAACTCTCCCCTTCTCCCCAGTACCAACACATCTTTTTTTTTTTTTTTTTCCTGGAAAGATGGTATTTTAGCTTGTGATAACATCCTGTTCGGGGACTGAAAAGAACTTCATCAGGTATTTATGCTGATCCTTCTGGTAGCAAGTTGTAAACACACTGACTCCTAAAAGATTTCTTCAGAGGCAGAAACCTCACAGGGCAAGAACAACACTTTATCACTGTTTATAAATGTACACAAAATGCAACTAGAGCCATAACCATGTCTTCCAGAGTTAGGGAAGACCCAGAACTGAAAGGCGGCAATCTTCTTGGCTCTGATCTTCAACTCACATGTGGGGCATGGGGGTGAGACTGATCAGCTGGCCCTTGAGCCACTAACCTCTTCATTGTGGCACCAACAAGAGTCTGTGCTCAAAAGGACCAGCCTCCAGTTAATTATGGCCTCAAAGTTGGCCCTGGCTGACCACCAGTTGGACTGGCCTTTGCATATGAAGGACTTGGCACACCAAGCTGGTGTCCTCCAAAATGACCACTGGCCTATCCCTAACTCCAACCTTTTCCAAACTGCCACCTTGGGTGACTTTTTCTATTGCTGGTTTAAGAAAACAAGCAACAAATACAAGTTAGATGTGATATAGATCTAGATATAAACACATAGGCATGGAGATATATAGTATAAATAAATAATAATATATAGGACGCATGGTTTAACCTTGATACAGAGATAAACAGACATGATGTAAAGCTTAACTAAGAAACATATGTGTATATATTTTATAGATGTATAAATGTCTATGTATATATAAAAATGTATTTCTTTATGTTAGTCATTTACCTACCTAATCTGGGCTAAATTCCAAAACTGATCAAGAAAAAAATCTTGAACTTCTTAGAAAAAAATACTACCATACACTGCCCAGCAGGACTAATTTTGGTTTTGCCAACTGCCAGAGCTGTTGAAAAACACAAATACTGTCTCCCCCCACTGCTCCCCTCAGCAGTATACTTAGATGATCTGCCTGTCCTGCTCCCCACTCTGTTTTTGGTGAAGCCTCTCACTGCCCCTACACCTCTGGCCTGCACCACATGTCTGCATGCATGCATAAATAAAAATAAATAAATAAATAAAGACAAGCCATGAAATAAAATTAGCAAACAATCCTGTTTACTGGCTCTACTGACTCAAGATTTTCTGAGCCTTAAAGCTCATAAAAAGATTCCTTGTAAGGAGAAAGCAAAGGTTCTTTTCGTGTCATTTCGTAAACAGGGCTTGCTTCCAGGATTACAGGAGTTAGCACAAGCAGCTCTCCGGGGCGGGGCGGGCTGGTACACCTGCCCAGAGCTGGAGGCACCGCAGAAGCCACCTGACACTGTTGGGAAACCGTTCCCAGATGCGTCTCCAAACCACGCAGGTATGAGAGCAAAAAAGGGAGAATCCCCCTGTCTACCTAATCTGGGCCAAATTCCAACACTGATCAAGAAAATAATCTTGAACTTGGGAGAAAAACCACCATACACTGCATATCTGCCCCCAGCCCAAGATTACTAGTAGAAATATAAACACACTATAGCCTCAAGTTGGAAAAGTTTTCCTCAAGTAAGTATTTTTTTTTTTTTGGTGAGTTTTGTGAGCTGCCAGGAAACTCCTAGCTTCTTTTCAAGAGATTCTAACGAGTTGTGTCCACAATTACAGGAACCCATCGAATTTAGGAGGAAGAAAAATACATGCACTGTGAGCATGAGTCAAATCGGCTTATGCTTCTCCAAACACGTCAGTGATCGCGCAACTCCATCGTGTACCAGTACCTTACCCATAGTTATATACTGCCAAGCTGCATTTTGGGGAAAAACTGGGTACCTCAATTCCAGACTTAAAGTGTTGTTCTGAATCTCTTTTGGGACCCAAGCAAGATTATCTCAGACCTCCTGCTCTTCGGTCCCCAGTCCCCTGCATGAGGCTGCCACCTTCCAAGATCCAGAGATCCGCAAGGCGCGATTGGGGAAGACGTCCTGAGGCAGAGAGTGTTGGGGGGAGGGGGGGTGGCGGGGGGGGGGGGAGAAGGGATGGAAAGGAGGTATGCCATTTTGGGTAAGTTAATAATTTCTGATCAGGCACGCATTTGTGGGGTACGCCGGCCCACCGGGTAAAACAGCAAACCGTAAGCTGAGATCGCGGATTGGAGACGGGTCGTGGATTCTACAACCGAGACTGTAATATTGCCGCATCATCCCTAAGCGTAACTAGGAAGGGACGCTGGAGAAAAGAGACTGCTAAGTCTCGAGGAACGCAGTAGCCGCGCGGGGCGTGCAGCTAGTACTTCAAATCATTTCGTTTTGACTCCCAACACCCTAGCTACCCCTGCTTATCATCCCTTCTGGAATCAAACCTCATCAAAACGTCTGCTGCCCAACACAGGTAGGTTGCGCTTGGAGACCCGAGAAACCTAGAGTTGCAGTCAGTGTCGCCCACCCGGGGTTTGAAAGCTTCCTGCAGCCACCTGTTCCACAAATCCTGGAGTTTGTGAGGGCCCAAGCTGCGTCAGTAAAGTCCCTGTCACCCCCTTTCTTCAGCATGACCCAGGATCTCCAAAGGCGCGCATCACCCCAAATTCAAGTGCGCATGCAATCTTCGCGCAACTCCCGAGCCTAGCATCGCTCTGGCCACCGGCGCGCGGCTATTGACTTCTCGGTCTCCCCGCTTCAGCCCCGGCCCCAGAGCTGAACGCCGAGGCCGGAAGAGCACCCAACCCCTCTCGGAGCACGGCACCCCGAAATACCTGCTGTGAAGATGCAAAGGGCGAAGAGAGTCTTGCAGACCATGGTACCCTGCTGCTTGGTGCCGAGTCCGGCTCCGGCGGTAGAAGAGTTTGCCGGGACTGGCCGAGAGACCGCGCGCGCAGCGCTACTGCTCTGCCCGCCCGCAGCTCTGCGAGCGGGGTGGCTCGGGCGGCTGGCGGGGAAGAAAGGGGAACGCAGCACGGCTCTGTCAGCTGCGTGTTCTCCCGCGCCCGGCGTGCTTCTGCTCCATCCCAGTCCGAGCCCAGGGCCGCCTCTGCCGCCACCGCGCGGGCCGCCGCCAAACCCCTCCCACTCCGGCCCGGTAGCGGCGACAGGGCCACCCCCCAGCTTTCCCTCTTCCCAGCACTCAGGTCCCGGGAGCCCAGGCCCAGGGCGGCCTCTGCTGGATAGTTAGGGCGCGAGGGCTGAGTTTTGAATAGGTTCAGCCAATGTTTGGAATTACTTGCAATGTGCTAGGCACTAAGGGGATGCTAAGAAGTAAAAGCAGATATGTGCTCTCCAGAAATTTATCTCAGCTTTTCTTACGTGAGTTTACTGCTTTGATACATGTGACCATATACCATCTTCAGCACACCCCCCCCCCAGAGTCAGGCCCCACCTATGCAAACAGTGTACAGATTCTTGCCAAGGATGAGAATCGTCTTCCTTATTTCCGTATCAAACGATACGGAGTGTACATTAAACCTTTATACACATTCAACACCACTGCACTTCCTCAGGCCTGACTTAGTATGACTGCTGTCCTCTATATGTTCTTACGAGGAGAAATGGCACTAATACCAGTTATCAGTGACGGTGGGTAACTATGAGCCAGGAACTGTACACGGTGTAGAGTGATTCCTAACTGCCCCAGCACAGAAGAATCATTTCATTTTACAGATGAGAAAACGAAGGCACAGAGAAAGCAAACAATTGTGTGCAAGGTCACATAGATGTAAGAGCTGGAAGTCAGTACAGCAGGGTCATAAGAACAAAGGCTGACATTTCCTGAATTATGGTTGTGTCCTGGACAACTGTGCTGTACAGGTATTAGTCAAGTAAGAATCTCACAGTAATCCTTTGATATGGGCACTGAAAAATATCCTCACTTTCAAGGGAGGAAATGGAAACACAAACAGGTTTAAGTACTTGCCAAGGTCAGACAACCAGCTAATGGTACGAGTCAGATGCCTGAATGTGCTTCCGCTTGAAAACCAAAAAGTTCTGTGTGTTTACAAAGATCAAAGTTGACCTTTCATTTACCTTCCCTCCACTCTAGACTTGCTTGTTTCTTACACTTTATCAGACCAAATGCCAGATCTCCCCAAATTTATGTTTTTAATAGCCTGGTGGTTTCCTAGTCACAAGAACTGGGAAGCTAAAGGAAGTAATGACCTTTCCTAAAAAATTGGTTTGCTCAGGACCACTACTAGCTCCAGAAACAGCTTTCTTTTCTGGCTTCTTATGGGTGACTTGGGCTTTATTTTCTTGCTCTTTCTGGCCTTATCATTTATCTGTGAGGTCAGTTCCTCTGAACCCCATGACCAATTATAAAACTAAGCCCAGAAGCAGATTAAACTCAGCTCATAGTTTTTCTTTTGTCTTAGTAAATTTATTGATTCTTGGTGGTATGAAAAGCAAAAGATATTGCAACCAAGTACCTATCCCCCGGTTCCTCCTCCCTGGAGAAAGAAACTACAGATTTCACGTGTCCCACATGTTCTCTGAGGGCTTTTGACCTTCAAGTTCTGATTTCAAATGTAATCTACATGAAGGCTTTCTGCATCTGGGTTGTGGTTGTCATGGAGGTAGAGACCACACAGATGGACTTTTGCAGTGACACTGTAAGGCAGCTGCAGCTTTAAATAGGGTAATTTAGGTAAGTGGTTCTATGAGAAAAATAAAGGTTTTTCAGAATCACCTCTCAAAATGTATTCTGTTGAAATTCCACAAAACCATATGCAGACTCGCCAGGCTACAGACTTTGATAACTAAGATGATGATTTGGGACCCCCACATTATAATCATTCATTTTTATTAATGACACAAACTTTTAATTTATTCATTTGATAGCGTCTTGATCAATTACTAAGTGCCAGGCCTTATACTAGACTTTGGGAAAATAATAGGTTGTAGTAAACTCGGGTATGCTTCTGTAAGAAACCACCCCCAATGTCTCAGAGGTTAGACAATAGCATTGATTTCTCACTCATCAAAGTCGGCTGTGGATCTAGGTCACTCCCCAGAGTAACTGACTCAATATCTTACCTGAATATAAAAACCTGCTTCCTTACTCACTGAGATAGCAGGAGAGAGAAGTGGAAAGTTAAGTGTAGCATTTACATCTTCTATCCAGAAATAAGGCTTCTGCTCGTATTTCATTGATTAAAGCAAATCAATGGCCAACTTTAAGAAAGCAAGACAGCACAATCTCTTCTTGTACCCAGATGGAAAGGTGAACTAGAGGGCAGGGAACAGTTGTGGTATGTGTCTCAGTGGCTCATTGCCCATGCCATCAGGAAGCTTATATTTTAATAGTAGTGAGTCAAACACAAAAAATATGCAGTAACAGTATACATATGTGATATATAATAATACCTACTAACATTTATTGAGCTTCTGCTATGTGTTAGGAATTGTTCCAAGAATTTATGCAATCTGTTTAAACTTTACATTCTCTAAGGTTATCCTGATAAAGGAAGTGAGAAATATCTAATGAGTTTAAATGTGAAGGAAGCTAAAAGATACAGCAGGGAGACTGACTCTCCTCCAGGGATCAGCGACAGAATTTGCCTGTAACCCTTTTGTCACATTATGACAAAAGTCAGTTTATCTCAGAATTCTTTTGGTTATTTAAAAAAAAAAATTCCATTGGGATAAAATTTAAGATAAATCCGTGACTCACTGACACTCACGCTTTTTTGATTATTATAAAATGAATTTCCGGTGTTATAGACTTTCAATATCTTATAAAAATTGGTCTTGGTTGGCTTATTTTCACATTTTGAACTTATTATAATTAATGTATGATGTCAGATAATCTATGTTAGGATAACCCAGAAATGCTAGCTCTGGACTTTTGGATTCATCATGGTTCAGGAGAGACAGAATAATGCAGTTGAGAGAGCTGCCAAAGTACTACAACCAGAAGGTAGAGGTTTCTTTTTAATGTCTGTTCTGTGATTCTTCCAGAATGGAATCCTCCACCATCTACTAAGGGATTCTGGTTGTTTGGCTACTTTTACCTGCCACTTTCACTTTACATTGAATGGGTTATGAATGTGAAAGACTTGCCATCTTTTTTTTTTTTTAAAGATTTATTTATTTATTCATACAGAACTGGGGTACAGGCCAGAGATGCAGTGGGTGAGAGGATTCACCAGAGACAGAGTGGGGAGCAGAACAGGCAGATCTACGAAGTACACTGCTGAGGGGAGCAGCAGTCAGGTCAGGAGAGGTCTGCCGCGCCATGTGGATCCCCTCCAGGGCAGGCAGGAATCGAACTCATGCAGAAGTGGCCTAAACTTCTTAGTGCTGTGCTTTAACTCGCTGAGCCACCAGGGAGGGCCCAGACTTGCCATCTTTTTTAAGTGCCAATATAAGTTAGCTACTATCAGGTCCCTCCCTGGTGGTGCAAAGTGTTAGGATGCAGCGCTCCAAGTGAGCAGCAGCCTCCTCAGTGCGAGTTCCATCCCCACCCTGGAAGTGATCCACATGGCGTGGCAGAGCTCTCTTGACTCGCCCCGCTGCTCCCCTCAGCAGTGTACTTCATGCATCTGCCTGTTCTGCTCCCCACTCTGTCTCTGGTGAATCCTCTCACCAGCCCTGCTCAAAACTTTCCGGCAAACCACAGAGCTGGAGACATACAGCAGGGGAGGGAAAAGCACCAGGGACTACTGGAATAGTCAAGCGTGCTGCCCTGGTGGGAGAACTACGGGACTGAATCTGAGGAGAGAAATGAAATACTGACCAAACATATTACATTTAGTACGTTCTTACATTAGTAACAATGTAAGAAGAAAACTACTTTATTTAAAAATAAGCTTTAAAAAGTGAAAGACGATGCTCTCCTTGGTGGCGCAGCCGGTTAGAGCACAGCACTGAGAAGCTAAAGCCACTTCCGCATGAGTTCGAGTCCCTGCCTGCCCCAGAGGTGACCACATGGCGAGGCAGACCTCTCCTGATCCTCCTGCTGCTCCCCTCAGCAGTGTATGTCATTAGTTGCCTGTTCTGTTCCCCACTCTGTCTCTGGTGAGTCCTCTCACCACCCCTGCACCTCTGGCCTATACCCCAGTTCTGTATGCATAAATACATCTTTAAAAAAAAGTGAAGGACCAAGAGAGACCATTAATGCCTGCTGCAGCTATTCCTTCACACAGTGATATAACAAGGGCTCTGCCCTTAGCACTGATTCACTCCCCCTACACCAGAGCTGCAGGGGAAGCTCTTGCCTAGGACAGCTCCTTCCCCACCTCATTTTTTCCTTAAAGGCCAGGAGGCAGATGCTTGCAGACCCAAGTATTTTGCCTTGGTTTAATTTCTCCTTCCAAGCTGCATTGTGAAATGTCTCTGGGGGGCTTCCTCCCATCACTTTGTGTTTCTTTTCTTAACTCCAGCTCACTCTTTTTTTAATATTAATGACAAGAAAGATTAAAGGCAGTTATGCAATATGTACAAAAGGGTATGTTTGGAATTTTGCCAAGAAACATTTGCTGGAGCAAGGGCAGTTTCAAGTTTCAAAAGGGCAAGATGAAACACGATTGTTTCCCTGATTCCAATGAGTTTGTTTGAGGCTGTGTTTGTTTGAGAACACTAAGCCACAAGTCACAAATTTTTATTTTAATTAAGAAGGAAGTCCTTAAAATATTTCAGAAAGGAAGAAACTGGCTCTTCAGAAGTGATGCTCATAACAGAGGCTCTTATTTCAACAGGTCTAAAACTTGATTGAGTTGATACTATAGATTTGCATTTCACAGCAAAAGTAAAATACAAAATATATGTGTAATTTAAAAATGTCTAGACGTCACATTAAAAAGAGTAGAATGAAAGCAGGAAATATTAATTATAGTATGATTTATTTAATCCAATATATTAAAAATATCTATTAATGATGTATTTTACATTCTTTTTCTCATTTGAAATCTTTGAGCCCAGTGTCTATTTTGCACTTACACAATGTCTCAACTTATATCAGGCACATTTGAATTCTAAATAGCCAGACATGGTTAGCAGCAAATATAGTGCAATCTGGGACTATTAAATATGGACTTAGTCTCTTGTTTTGCCTCATGAATTGTTCCTTAAAGCACAGAAATGTGCTGATGGGATCTTCTAACTGGCAGTTGGAAT